TGCCAGTGTAACAGGGGGTGCCGGGAGGTACTGGGGCTGTAGGAGGGCCCTGTTCTGTTCCACCAGTGCTCGGGGTGCTGATCCCAGGGGAGTTCTGAGCTTTCTTTAGCTCCTGGGCTCTTCTTGAAGCAGCTGGAATCTCTCAGGCTCCCCCGGTGTTTCAGGAGAGTGTGTTGTTCGGGTTGTAGCAGTTGTTTGATGGCTGTAGGTAATAAAGTTCAAAGATCTGCACTCGGCAGCCTCTGACCCTTCTCCATCTGTGTACAGGGGTGACTCGTGTATGATCTGAACAAAAATTCTCTCACCCATCTGCTGCCACGTGGTGCTGTAACTGTGAGATCCTCCTAGGTGTTAGCTAGGAACAGGAGGTGGTTTGAACTTAGGTGTTTTTTTAAGATGCATTAAGCACCCACATCCTGGCATTTTCCAGGCACTAAAGGGATTTTGCATTTTTGAATTGGATTTGTCCATTTTTGATCTCTTAAGAATGGGCTTTGTTTAATCTGTAATAAAGTCATATGTGCAGGTATCAACTTCTCATTCATTTGGGGACTGTCCTATACCACAGGTGTGTTACAAAAGGATATCCTCAACAGTATTTTCCTGCAGAAATTCTTAGTGATCTAGTTTTTCACAGACTTAGCACTTAAGTCTTTGTTTTGGGAGTTAATATCAAAAGACTCATTCCTCCTGATGCCAGAATAGTGAATCTTGGGCCTTGTATTTTGCTTTTCATTTGCTTGTTTTAGTGAAAAAAAGGCCAAGTGAATCACCTTAATGACTCTGGAACTGTGTATGCACGTTTAAGTTATTAATACTTCTTCATGCTTTAAAGTTTTCTGCATATTTTTCTCATAACTGGATTTAATATGAATACTTTATCTTCCAAATAACCCTACTGCCTTTTTTTGTTTGAACTTGAGGAAGAAAAATGGAGTTTTCTAAGAGGGCTAAATCAGAGGGCTTGTGTTGGTGACCTGCTTGAGTGGAAGCACACATGCCATGGAGGAACAAGGGATTTTCCCCTCTCTGAGGAGACTTGTTGATGCCCAGTGCCATGGTGGTGTTATAGTAAGGATTCTTCTCCTCTAAACTTGGCCGAGCATCAAAGAGGGACAAGGAGTAGGGGAGAAATTTGGTGTTTTGGGGGATCTATTCTGGTTGCATCTTCTGTAACACTACGTTGTGGTTCATTCAGAACAGGGAACTGTGTGTGTGGTTCCATAGCACTGCTGCTGAGCTGGAACTGGAGGTGGTGGAGAAGCTCCACTGCTGTCAGTCTGGGAGGCTGTCCAGACCCTTCTCTCTGTGTCCTTGCCCTGCCCTTCTCAGCTGAGTATTCATCTTATTTTTCACAACAGGGATAATGTGGAATGGTCGGAAACCAGTGCCAGGAGTAAAGTGCAAGAGAACAGCTCACAGCTATTGCCACAAGATAAACAAGGTACTTTTGGGTAGTCTACTCATGCTGGGTCTTGACTTGTCCATGCAGGAGCAGCACAGTCTGGCCAGAGCTACCTTTGCACCATCATTTATTCCTCCCTTCCCTCCTCTCCTGCACCATTCCAGACCCATTCCTTAGTTGTAGATAATGAAAAGTGGAGGAGGAGGAGGAGGAGGAATTTTTTCTGTTCTTCATTTACCTCTCTGTGGCTTTTCCACCTTCTCCAGAGACTCATCCTGCTGGAACAAAAATGCCCTTGGTTGGGAGGAGTCACCTTGGGCCGAGCTGCTTTGTTCATGTCGTGTGTGTTTGAATACTCGCTGGTGTTCCTTGTCTTCTTCTAGTGTAGTGTTATTGCCTCTGCTTGGTTTTGCTCCCTAAAGCTTAACTTCTAGCAGTTGATCTGTTGTGTGCTTGCATGCTGTGGAGCTATCCCTCATTCAAGCTCAATTTTCATCATTAAGAGCATCTAATAAAGCAGTCTCCATATCCACCTCTTTCACAAACAGCGTGGTAACGATCAAATCAGAAGCAGAGCAAAATTATTTTCTCCTGATGGAAGTATTTCAGAGAGGCAGAAAAGGGATTCCAAAGGTTTTATTTCCTTAAAGGATATTTATTCATCCAAAATGCAGAGCTTACCTGAGTCTGGACTAAGCTGAGGGTGCACAGCTCCATGGCTGAGGGACACGGTGGGAGCTGTTGGGTAATGCTCACCTCTCCTCCCTGCCTCTTAGATGTCACCCAGCCCCTTCCACGATGCTGAAATGGCTTCCTGCTCTTGGGTGTGATAAGAGGCTTTATTTGATGCTGATCTTGTTCTGCCCTGCCGAGCTCTAGGATGGATCTGCTCCTTTTGTTGGAATTAAATTGAGCGTGGCATCTGTAAGGCAATGCTGAACACTGAGCTATTGAGACAGTTCCCATATAGCTTCCAGTTGTGTACACAATAGCAAGTTTAATCACACCAAAGAGCAACCCTCCTAATTCCTTGGATTCCCAGAAGTATCCAGCAGTTCCCATTGTGATGCCCATTGTGCCGAGCTCACTGTACAATCTGGTTGACATTAAAGGGCGCTGTCTGTCAGACTTTGGGAACCTATGTACAGCTCTGAAACTCTGGAGCAATTTGCTCTTAGAACAGTTTGTCAGGTCTTCGTGATGTATTTCCTGGGCTGAACAATGGAGGCCAGGCCAATTTGGATGGTTGCTATTCAGTGGGAAGCTGTGGAGACAATGGGATGGCTGGGACGGAGGGCAGGCAGCCCAGCCACATTGCCTGGAGGGTCGAGTGTTTTGAGACTGGTGATGTCCAAGCAGGAGAACAAAGGCAGGCTATTGGTCATCATGGCTCTGTTATTCTGGGGGCTTCTTGGGGCTGGCAGAATTTGTTCTGAAGAAGGAGAGAAGTTCTGTGGGGTATGTCGAAGAGGTGTCTGCTGGCTGGGAACAAAGAAAGAAGTGGAAGAGTGTCTGGGTTTCCTTTTGAGGCTCCACCATTAGCCCCCATGCAATTCAGGAGATCCCTGGTTCTATTCCTGTCTCTTGTGAACTGTTGGTTTTGCTTGCCTTTCTTCTGCAATGTGAGAGGGTGAGTATGGGCTTGGCTTTGGGGGTGTTCTTTCAACGATGAGCAGAAAAGTCAGGAATCCTCACCAAGAAAGTCTCTGGAGGGATCTTACTTTAGCACCAACGGCCCCATGAGCTAATTCCACAAAAAGGATCTTTTAAGCAATCTTATGTGAACTTCTCTGGCATAAGTTGTGCAGGAAGTCAGACTGAAAAATTATTATGGTCCTTTATTTTGCTTTAAATCTGTTTCTTGCATGATCTTTGTGAGTTGGCCCTGGATTTCTTGCATTTGTATTGTTACTAATCCTTTATCCCCAGTGCTTGTGAGGGAAATGAGCTTTAAATAAAGCTTCCACACGTGTGGGTTGGAGTGTAACAGCTGCTCGATAGCATCCAACAGAACTTCACAATAATTTAGCACCAGAAGAGCACAGTGTCTTATTCAGCATTATACTGTGGCAAAAATAAAAGTGGGTAATCCAAAATGGCTGGGCTGGAATTTTGCAGCAGCACCTCAGGGAAGCTGAGTCCCATTGCAGCCTGGCTGTCGTGGGCTTGTCAGGGACCAGCAGGAGCCATTGTTTGTGGTTTTGTTGGGTGAAAGAGCATTTCCAGCCCCAGCAGCCTTGTGTCTCCTAAGGGTACATGGAGAAGGGGCCAGGTCAGGAAGGAGAGTGCCAGGGTGTGAGCTGGTAGCACTTGTTCCTCTGACAGGAGTAGTCACTGAGTTCTCCTGTGCAGGCAGTGACCTGACGTGACCCTGCTCTGAGCTATGGTGAGAGCATGGCACAAACTTACTGCTCTAGTCTGAGACCAGACAGTAAAGTTCCTTTGACTTGGGGTTCAAGGACAAGGCTTCTTAAAAGGAGAAAATCCTTGTAGGTGAGGTAAAGAGATTGTTTTTATATATGCCTCTTTGTGCTTCAGGGATAGATCCTACTAAAAATATACATATGACTGACTTCTGCTTCTTTGTTAAAGCCATTTTGGTCTGTGTTTGGATGAGGCTACACATTTTTCCAGGCATCCTTGGTTCACTTTCCTATCCCCCCTCAGATATCTTCTGAACACTTGTATGCTTCCAGAAAGACTAATAAGTAAAGGACAGTTCAGATAATAATACTAATTCCAATTTTTTAATGCCTGCTTTTTCTCCTAACCCTGCTCTCAGTAGATAGTGGAGACAGATTGTCCATTCTCATGTAGAGTCATCATCTTTAGTTGGGGGAGAAGCATTTCCCTTCAGGAGTGCACCTGTTGGAGTGCACGGGTGGTGAAGGAGTTCCGTGGGGCTGAAATGCAGTTGGGATCTCTGGCTGTGGAGAGAGGGTAGTGCCTCCAGGTGATTGCAGGCATAGGATTTCCCAGGATGGAGAACTCATCACATTGATGAGAATTCAGGGAGCCAGCTGGATTTGTAACTTCCCATAGAAAGAACAGTTCCCCTAGAACTGGACTTGATCTGAAATCTGTGAAGGAGTGTGGGAAGAATTCTGGGGGTGACTCGAACTTCATTAGCTCGTGGCTTTGTGAGGGTTCCTCCCCTTTCTGTAATGCTCATCTTGCTGCTGGAATGGAGCCACTTGGTGTGAGAATGGTAATGCTGGCTGCTGAAGTTAACTCTGACTGTCTTTAGTCTATCCACCTCAGCTCTCCACGACTGCTTCACTGACAGTGGTCGCTTCTGTTGATTCCCCTACTTGTGTTTTAATTTAATGAAAGTGTGGTGCTCTGACACACACAGCTGTGGGAAACAAAGCCCTGTAGGCTGGACTCCAGCAACACTTGTGTAAAACATGCTGTCCTGTAATCTTGGAGTGTTGTGCAAAGTTTAATTGAGCTGGGCCTCTGTAGTTGACTCAGTTTTCTGTTTCTCCATCTGAAAAAGGGGGTGGTGTGCTGGACAGGAGCTCCTCAGCTCCAGGCAGCTCTCACAGAGTTCCTTAGGAGGTGTGAGTGCTTGACACAGTGTCACGAGGCTCCACATGAATTATTCCAGTGAACTGAAGAAGTCAGTGTTAGAGATGGAAGTAAAACCTGGACTTCTTCATTCCAGTTTCCTTCAAAGAGGCTTTTTCTGTTGCCAGCTCCCTTTAAATCCTAGCAGGAGAGTTTCCTCTTCTACCTCTTTTCCCTTTTTTTTTGTCCTAAGAAAGTGACTGTGAGGAGGCAGGCTGAGTGTTTGTGGGGTGGCACAATTTAAATCAAGGTGATTTTCAGTCAATACCCTTCCTTATTAGAGTGGATTGCTGGGTAGATGTCTGCAGTGACTCCTCACTGTCTGAGCTGCTTAAACTCTGAGACCCTCCGATCTGACTGCTGCTGATGGTTTTGTTTGTGTTCACAGAGGAATATGAGGTGAATGCTGTGAGGTACTGGGATGACTTTTATAAAGTCCATGAAAATGGCTTCTTCAAGGACAGGCACTGGCTGTTCACTGAATTTCCTGAGCTGGCACCCAACAGGAACCCAAGGCAAAACGGGGACTCTGTGCGTGGATTTAGGAACAAAGAGGAATCCAACAGTGAAGGGCTGGGAAGCTGTGCAAATGGACTTTGTACATTGGAAACCAGGGCAGAGAATCAGTTAAACCTGGTAAAAAGCACACCTAAAATCTGCACAGAGGAGCTGGCTACACAGAAGTACAGTGAGACGACTCCAAGTGGTGATTACCCAGGAGCATCTGCATCTTACCGCATATTGGAGGTAACAGAACAGTTTCACACATCAAACAGTCCCTTGTATCAGTCTCAGTGTGACTGGGATATAAAAATATGTATCACTGACAAGCAGTGAGTAAATGGGATGATTGCCTGAAGTCACTAAAATGCAAAAAAAAAAACCCCAGAGGGCAGCTTAGAAAGGAATTAAATCCATTGGGGTTCTTTTGGTTTGGGCTGAATTGGCAGAGCACAAGGACCATAAGCAGTCCCTGAGTTTGAAAGACAAGCTGTTACTATCAGATGTTGAAACAAGCATTTAAAAGTCATCTTTTGAAGAAGCTGATTCTTTTAGTTGTCTGTATAAAGCTTTCCCTTCTCATTTATGTTTTGCCTCCATGTGCTGACTCATTGGCCTCGGGAGGTGTGAAACAAAACAACAAAACCAAGAACGTGAAGGTGCTGTGGGGTTTGTTCCTGACAGCCCGTGCAGCAGTGGGGAGCCTCAGGCTGCTACAGGATTTGTCCCAGACAAGTCTGTGGGGTTTACAGCTATCAAGGTCCCTGACAGCTGGCCATGACCTTTTGCTCTGCCAGCTCTGCTTTTCTCCACTGTAGATATCAGTGATTTTGTGGCATGTTTCATGTTCTGAGGAAGTTCTGCCCTTCCAGGGAAAGCAGCATGAACTGTCCTTTTCATTTTTGTATTTAATCTGAGGCTTTGTGGCTTCCTCAGACTTTGATGTTCTTGGGTCATTGTGGCTTTCCTGTCTCACCTGAGTACCCTCAGTAATACCTGCTGCTGCAAGCTCTCAGGGGTGTTTTCTGCTCAGTCTGTTGCAATTCTACTGATTCCTTAAACATTCAGAGGCAAACTCCCCAAGCCCACTTGGGTGAGCCAGCTCCTCTTCAGATGGGAACAAGCAGGAGCAATAATAAGGCAGAGTCATTGTGGACCTGGCTGTAACCTGAGGAGGAGCCATCTAGGGAAGGAAACTCTGAAACAGCAGGATGTCATTACAGTCAAACTTCTTTCTCCATTGCTCTGATTTTCTGTGGAAGTGAATCCAGCTAACCCATGGCCTTTACCAGTGCTCCAGTGACTCATACTGGTTGTTATGCACGGGATTCCAGCAATCAGTTTTCAAAAGAGTAACACTATATAGCTGGTTAGTGAGAGCTCCAGGAGAAGTGGCTGAGTGCTTTCCCACAAATGCTGATGTGTAGCCCTGCTCATCAGAGCTGAACCTCTTCACACCTTGCAGGGAGATGCCCAGATGGTCACTGCTATGCTCAGCTGTTGCTCATGAGTTGCTCTTTGTGCCCTGGCTGTAGAGGTGTGATTTGAAATCAGCTGCATGGGGCAGGTTGAAGAAATGATTTTCACCATGTGTACGTCTGCTGTGTTTGTACAGGTTGGCTGTGGTGCTGGAAATACAGTCTTCCCCATTTTGCAAACCAACAAGTGAGTAGTTCCCATCAGGTTTTTACCTGCATGATATACCAGCCTCTGAAAAACCACTGGAAAAGTCTTGCCTGTGTTCTTGGTTTAGCCAATTTCAGAGAAAAGCCAGATGCAAATTGGTATATTTGCCACCTGTGGCTGCAGATGTGGAAACCTTTGGTCTTAGAATGGAGCCAACAAAACATGATGCAAGTTTAGAGATCTCATTCTGAAAAATTGGTACATTTGCCACCCGTGGCTGCAGAGGATTGTTCTGAGCTTGGAAACCTTTGGTCTTAGAATGGAGCCAACAAAACATGATGCAAGTTTAGAGATCTCATTCTGAAAGCGTTTTCATACAGGCCTTAGTGTCTCCTTTTCTGGAAAGGAAAGTGAGAGCCAGTTCCATGTGAGAATAACTCACATGAGGCATAAAGGAGCAACACGATCCACCAGATTTTGCACAGTGCAACACTGACAGATAAATAAACCACAGCCCAGATTTCTGCCTCCCAGCTCAAGTGCATCCAAGACACTTCTGTAATTCCTGTGGGGCACCTTTAGGTAAATGCTGATAGTTTCTTTTATTTATTTCAGTGACCCAGGCCTCTTTGTTTATTGCTGTGATTTTTCTACGACAGCTGTGGATCTTGTCCAGGTAAGCTCAGTGGTGACCTGGGAAGGTAGGAGGTACCTGGTGGCAATTTCACACTAACACAAACATACCAGAGGTGTCATGGACTGTCTAGCTGTGCTGGCAGCTTTCTGTTTTCAGCCAGCCCTGGTGCTGACCCTTGTACTGGTAAATCAGGAAAACAAGCCACTAAAGGTTGTAGAAATGAGGGAAGTTGGAGTTTTCAAAATGTCACATTGGCAGCAGACAAGTCAGTCAGATTTTCTTTCCCCTGAGGTTGGCAGTACTTTTTTAAATCCAGGGCAATTTTAGCTGAGTAACTGCTGCACCCTGAAAACATTCAGGCTATTTTTTAACAGGAACTGAAGCTGGTTTTGGTTTGTGTGTGTTACTGTCACTGCAGTCCTGGGAACGTGTGTCTGCACAGACAGCTGAGGAGGGATACTGTTGTCTGTGGAGCAGGAGGCTGGAATTTAGTCCGAGGGCAAATACCACTAACAAATTTCAGGTCAGAACAGAACTAGGACTATATGAAGCATCAAATGTAATCAGTCACTTCATGAGAAGAGATGGGGAGCACAGCAGCAGAGGCAGCGTGATGCTTCTTCCTCTTAAAATGACACAAACACTGTTTCTAGAGGCCTCTGCAATCCCTAGCAACAGCTTTAGATAAATACAGAATAACTTTTAGAAGTCTAAACATGATTTTTAAGAATGTAACTTGAAGCAGCCAGGTTTGATTTTAGGGATATAGGGAGTAGTCTCCTTGTAGCTGAAATGAATATTGATTCCAGTCATGCAGAGAGACCCTGATGCTTTCTCTTTTGTAAAGATTTCCAACCTAACAGTGTAAATCCTTCACTGCTTACCACTGTTGGTAGAAAATCTGACCTTAAAATTGCAGTAATCCTTCATCCAGTTTGGGGGTTTGGGCAGTGCTGATTGTCTGCATGTAGCAAGTCCAAAGTTCTTTGTAGATCTCTCATATGTTCTTATTTTTCACATTCACCCCTGTTCTTTGTCTGACCCCATCTGCCTTGGTTTGGTGAGGCTGAAACAGGTCTCAGGACTCACCAGTTTATTATGTCCAGGGTAAAATGCTCCCATGTCCAGATAATACTGAGATCAGGGTCTGCTAATGCTTATTTCTCTCCCCTTAAACACAGAACAATGCAGAATATGATTCTTCTCGCTGCTTTGCGTTTGTCCACGACCTGTGCAACGACCAGAGTCCTTTCCCAATGCCAGATGAGAGTCTGGACATTGTGATTCTTATCTTTGTCCTCTCAGCAATCCTCCCAGAGAAGTAAGTTTTAATAATTCCTCCTGGTTGCAGAAGATAATGCTTACAGAGCAGGAGTTCTTTTAATAGTAGGTCCCCTCCTATCAAAGAAAATTAAAGTTTGTCCTGTGTCTGGTCCAGTTTTCCATTAAGCCTCTGGAAATGAAATTTTCAGGGACTTTCTCTTGTGACAGATGCTGGCAGAGGAGGGGTGTGGTTTGAAGTGCTAGGTGGCTCTAGGTGTCACCTTGCTGCAGTCACAGTTCCTCACTGTTTCTGAAACCCAGCCACACTGAGCACTCAGCACCCTTTTGTGGACAGTATCCTGCCAGATTTTAAGGCTCAAAGGCTAGATGAATTTCTCATATGGAAGGTGGCAAGAAGGGAGGGGATGGGTTCAGAAAGCAGTTAAAGTGCTGTAATCTTAGTGAGAGAGTGTGTTCCAACCTACTCTAGTCTCTTTTCTTTGTTCCTTTTGGGTTTACTGCACAGCATTTTCCTTCAAGTTCACAAAATCCTTGTTTTACAGAAACCAGTGGAAATACTTTTGGAATTAGTAAGAGAGAGCAGTTAATCCCTGCTGCAGCAGGCTCAGTTATCTTTGTGGGAAGAAAAAAAAACCAAATCAGAATTGAGGAGCATCAGAAATAAGGTGGCCAAATAAAATCAACCCACCTATGTCTGAGAGAGCTCAGAAAGATGTAAAGCTTCATACCTTCTTTTTGGGAAGTAGGCTAAGGAAAGAAGCACCAGTTTGCAGCACGTTGAATGCTCCTGTCCTGTTGCTCCTCAGGATGCAGGGCGTTGTGAACAGGCTGAGTCGCCTTCTGAAGCCGGGAGGAATGGTTCTGTTACGAGATTACGGCCGCTACGATCTGGCCCAGCTGAGGTTTAAGAAAGGTATTGTCTTCTCCCTGGGGAGTTCTGCCAGATCACTGAGAGATGATGCTTTTCTGGAGTAGTGCCCACCCTGTCTAGGAGGCAGCAGCACTGTAGTTCCTCTCAAGCGCAGCGTGTGCTGGGAGAAGTGCCTCTTGCTGGGTGGCAGTTGTTGATTTTTAAATGATAGCTGGTAACTGTTTAAATCCCTCTTGCCCTCAGGTCAATGTTTGTCTGATAACTTCTATGTGAGGGGTGATGGCACTAGAGTCTACTTCTTCACACAAGGTAGGAGGCTAGAAAACATCCCTGTGACTCTTCTCAGCTCTTTTTTTTCCCCCTGTGCCCTCAAGTTCTGCCACTAGCTCTTTCCAGCCTGTCTTGGAGCAGTGTGAAATATTAAGTGCATGGGCACCTGAGCTTGTTACTTGCTGATGCAAATGTGGATGGTGAATTCCTTGCTGGAAAATCCTTTTTGGAGAAAGACTCCCTAGTGCAGTGTTTGCTGCACTGGGAGGGGTGGGATTGGAGGAGTTCTCCTTGAATCTCGTTGCCTGCGGAGGGTGGAACAAGATGGACACCACTTGAGGGAACTCCTCTTAACTTTTTACTGTTCTCCTACTAGGAAATAAGGGTGTGGCTCAGCACAGAGCTGAGGCAGCCTCTCCAGTTCTGCTGCTGCTTGATGTTGAGCAGGGCTTGCGCTCTCCCTGCTTATCACCAAGTGCACCTCCAGTCGCTTCCACCGTGGGCCCCTCGGCGTGGTCAGTTCTAGAGCAGTGGCACAACTGCAGCCCACTGTTCCCATCCCCACTGCACGAGTCTGGTTTGTCACAACAAAACTAATGCTTAACGTGTGTTTGGCAAACACTGCACGATGGCGAGCATCTGATAAAAGAGCACAAGCTGGGACCTGTTAGCTCTTTTCTGCAGAAACTCCACACAAATCACGTGCTCCCAGACTGCAGATGAACAAGCTCTCTGCTGCTCAGCAGGACTCACTCTGGCTTTGCCCACGGCCCATGTGCTGGGGCACTACCAGACTTAGGTGCTGGGTCAGGAGTACCTGCCAGCATAAGTGTTGCAGCCTCGGGGGCTCGTAGTGCTTTGATTGGCTCCCAACAGGGTGTGGTTTGTAAAGGTTTTTTTTCTTTTCCAACATTTAACCTTAATGAATCCCGTTCCCCTCCAGCCTGTACAGCACAGAGCTTATTGCCACCCTTTAAAAATGTAGGCCTGATCCCATTCTTTGCTCCTGCAGACTCTGAAATCCCTCTAGAGAGAGGGGGGAGGGGGAAGGGGTGGATCTGTCCCTACTCACCAGAAGATACTCTCCTAATCAATTACTAGAGGCAATGCCCCTCTCTGAAACTGCTGCTGTTTTCTCCCTGTCAAGTCTCTGTAATTCTAGTTGTCCTCCAGATAATTCTTCCTTTCCTTGGTAGAAGGGGAACTAGAGAAGCTGTGATCCTAATCCCCCCACAGTACTGCAGCTAAGTCCTGTCTGATGGTTACATTTCCCTGCCAGAGTGAGACCCTGACTTTCTCCTGGCCCATCTTTCAACCTCATGTAGCCCTCAGGACGAGCAGGTACCTGTTAAAGGGGAGCTGTGGCATCCTCAAGCTCCTTCTCTCTGCTTCCAGATGAATTAGATGACCTCTTCACAAAAGCTGGGCTGGAGAAAATCCAGAATCTGGTTGATCGGCGACTGCAGGTGAACCGGGGGAAACAAGTGACGATGTACCGAGTGTGGATCCAGTGCAAGTACTGCAAACCTGCTGCCCCTCTGCTCTGAGGGAGCAGGGCACAGAGCTCAGCTCAGAGCCCCTGCGTGGCCACGTGCAGTGTCTCCTCCTGGTGAGCTGTGGTTTTATGGAGTTGGGTGCACACAGGACTTCAGTGCCTTTGACAGTGCCTCGCATCGCTTCCAGAGAGTTCTGCTGGTGATGGACGCTCTTAAAAGGAGACCAAGGAGTATTTTAGGTGTCTTGTTACTGATCTGAGTTTTTAAAATTGTTTTATGGTTTTAACAACTTAAGAAGTGGTCATGCTGTCTTAGAGCAGCTGAGCAAGTAGTATGTCACTCTTACTCTGGATTTCCACATGAAACAGAAGGAGAGCTTTGTCCTTCCGTCTGTGTTTCTGTATTGTGTACTCTTGTCCTGGGAACAAAAACCATACAAAAGGTAAATTTGCTTTTCTCTGCAACTGCTCACTAGGCCTAATATGAATCCATTAGCCAGCTTATCTCACACAGCTCTCTTCCAGTCGTTCAGGTCTGTGTAAATCCCCGAGTTCAGACACACTGAGGGAGGGCAGGAACTGAGAGCACGCTGGTGTCTCTGTGCCACCTCCCCCGTGGATGCCTCCTGGTGTGCAGGTAACCTGCAGAGAAAGCAGATTCTGCTTCCTTGCCCTCGTGTCCACCTAGGGAGCTAGCACACTAGCTCAGGTGCTATAAACTCATGTCAGGCAGGGTTCAGGTTTTCAGAGGGTTGAGGCTGATGCCACTGTTAGGGCATCTCCAGAGCAGAGAGTATCACAAGCAGCTCACGGGACCAGGGTTTACACAATTACCTCCTTTTTCTGCTTGAACAATGAGAAAGTGCTGCCTGCAGCCCCCAGGCCGCAGACTCTGCTGCCCTGGCACGGTGGTGTGCTAAGCCCAAGTAGAGAAGAAGCCTGTCTTTGATAAGAAATCTGAAGAATGTCTACCACTCTTGTTTAATTTCTTCGAGGAAGCCAACACTGTGGCTCTCTGAAGGTATTTCCCCACCTTTGACAGCAAATATCTTTTATCTCTGCTTGTTTTCTTTTGTTATTTTTAGGGTGTGGTACAACAGGTATTAGAATAAATTTTGTGGTAATGCTTTTCAGTGCTGGATTGATTAATATAAATCAGGCTTCTGCAGAAACTCACAGGCTTCTGCACGCCTGATCTGAAGGATTTGGGCCACTGTTAGGTAACTACAGGGTTTTTTTATCTCTTCTGTTATCCTGAGTCTCCCTTGTGCCTGCTTTCATCTCTCCGGAAGGGAAAGCCTTGGCTGATAGCTCCTACCTGGCTCACGAAGCAACAAGGTTGTTTGTGTGCACACTGCTGGCTGAGGAGCAGCTCATGCCACACAAAGCATGTGTGTGTTGTTAGCTAGAGTCTGGTATTTGTAGCTTACAGTTGCCTAACAATAACTGTCAACTATAGAGAGACATAGGTTGTGAAATAACTGCTGGCTTGAGATGGAGGAGAAAGAGGAGAAAGATGAGGACATGTCATTGCTATCTTCAGAGAGTCTGCAGGAGTCCTGGAGAGTCAGACTGGGAGCTAACCCTACAAAGTCTGGTTCCCTGTCGAGGTTGGTACCTCAGGCAAGGTCTAGGCAAAACACAGCCCAAGGCCTCAGAGCTCAGCGAGCTCGTGTCTCCTCATCTCATCCAGGCAAAGAGTCAGGCTTAGCAAAAGAAGTCCTGGGAGTGTTTGACGTGACGTGGCTCATGTAAGCAGCTCTGTCTCTTCCAGTGAAAGACCTCCCATGTGTTACTGGAGCCTTAGGCAGCTCCCTGGGGTCCTTTCCCTCACAGTCCCAGAGGGAGACCTCCTCCTGGGATAGCTTTATCTCCCTGGAAGAAAAATTACTGACTGGGGTAAACAAGCAGCATAATTAGTGTGAATTAAAGTAATTTGAAAAATGCCTTATTAATCATCCCAAGCCTTGTAAGCAGCACAGGAAAATATGTTTTTAATTATAAACATGATTTATTTAAAGTTGATGGACTCCCCTTTAAATTTAAGCTCCTGAATGGGAACTAAAAGGCTAGTAATTTATTTGTTTCTACTTTCAAGGCTACATCCCAGTTGCCTGCCTGGTTTTGAGTCGGGCTTCATGCAAAAACTTGCAGCCCTGAGAGCCTCCAGCCATTGAAGTGGCTCTTTGCCTTTCTTAATGCTCTTCATTCTGCTGGAGTATTGAAGCAATCACTCAGCATGAACCACGCTGGGCAGACATGCTTTTGTTTCCAGTCCTGTTGGTGGTGTTCAGAAAGCAACAAGTTAATGGCCTTGCATTGAGAGAGGCCTCCTACAGACAGATACTGTCTGAGTTTCCTTCATTAATCTCCACCAGCTCCCATTCTCTCTGAAGCTGCTGCTCTCCTGCCACTCCAGGCCTCACCTCCCACACAGCTCTGCTCAGGTACCTTGGCCCTGACTTGCAGCAGCTCCTGCCATTCCCACCTTGGGCCTGCTGAGCAGGCTGAGTTGCACAACTGCTTTCTAGCATGTTCAAAGGAAATCTCCAGATTGACTTTTACTCTATTGAAAAGCCAGGTTAAGTGCCTTTGGGTTTTGCCTTTATTTTTTCCTCTTCCTTTTTAGCAGCATAACATTAGCTTTAAAGCCATTCTGAACCTATCTGCTCTGGTTTTGTTCCCAGCATTCCAGTCCTGTGGTCTGTGGCTTACAGGCAATGCCAGTGGAGCTTTCTGAACCTCCCAAGCAGAAGAGATGATTTCATAGCTCTTCAGAGGCACTGCCCCTGAGATTCTGGAGCCAGACATTGTTACACTTGGGAAAGTCTGGTCCTGGCTCTTGCCAGAGGATAGTGGATTTCCTTGGGGGTTCATAGATTGTTTTGGCTGGAAGGGACCTTTATCATCACCTATTCTGACCCTTTCATGTAGGGATTATGGCATCAAGCCTGTGACTTGGACTGAGCCAGAGCTAGTCCTCCAGGAAGGCTTTCGATCCAGCCAGGATGCTGAGGGCTCCAGTGAATGGCAAAGAACCCTTTGCCTCCCAGGTACCTTGTTCCTCCCATGGCATCCTGAGGTCACAGATTAGCTAGAAACTGGGAGGCAGGAAGGGAACAGGGGAGGTAAAGGGACCAAGAGCCTGGGGAATATTTCTGATACCGTCACTGCAAAAGCAGATAAACTGGAAATGCCACTGAATATTGGAGCTTTCTCAGGATTTTCCTGATGGCACAGGCAAGTGGGAAACGACAGTCGTCCTTAGTGACTTTTATTGTCACAACAGTAGTCATCAAATCCTTCCGACCCAGAAGCGTGTGAGACCAGACACAACTGTTTCCTCTCCCAAATACTTCAGCTCCACCTTCTTGGGCTATGTCACCACCATTTCTAATTCTGTAGTTAGTTGTAGAGCTCCAAGATAAATGACACCTGATTATTTTCAACACAACAGAAGTGTGAGCAGAAGGAACCTGCCTGCACGCATGCCAGCAGCCTTTGGCATTGCTTCATACCCAAAGCTGAAGGAGCTGCTTTTTGTCACTGGCACTGGGATGAGCCCCGGCCGGTCCCCAGTTGGACTCCCAACAGGGATCACAGCCTCAAACTGAACTGAGCTCTTTTGCCCAAGGACAGATGAAAGCTGCACAGGCCTCAGTGCCTAGATGTGAGGGCACAGATGAAGATGAGACTGCAGGGATCAAGTGATTAAAGGATTTTGGGAGCATCCTTCCATCTCTGTAAAGACAGATGGAGGGAAACTGAGTCACGCGGTCATCTTTGTTCTCCTGATCCGTCAGCCAGGTCTGCAGTGTCAGTGAGAGCAGTGCTGCCTCTTCTGGGTTGGTGCCATACTGGGGAAAGTTAGTCCAGAAGACTAAGACAGGATCACCTTTGCTATTGTAGCTATTCATCTCCCTTGGCAGGGGTGTGTGCTTGGCACACATCTTGTACAGTGTCCATAGGATTCTAACAGTGTTGTCATGTGTTTTTTCAGGCCAAGACAGAAATTACTAAGAAAGTGAGGAGGAAGGAGGGATTTTTTGGAGGACTCTCCTACAAAGTGAGGTGCTCTGGACGGAAAGGGATTGTCAGCTCTGTGCTTAATCAGCAAAGCTCTGGAGTTTGTGCTTAGCTCTTGCTGAAGACAGTAAGTTCCTGTGTGTAAGTGCCTTGCAGAACGGGAGCTTGTGTTGCCAAGAAAAAGGCACACAGCACAGGAAATTACCAGTGGAGGCAACAGCAAGTGCTCCTCTGAACTAAATAGGATCCAGCTACCTTTGTTCTGGAGAGCACAAGCCAGACCTGGAGCTTGGCTGGAGCACAGGTGGGGAGAAACAAGAGAACTCAGCCCAGTGTGCCTCTGCATTTACCTCCTGTCCAAAGGCTGCGTGGTGTGGCAGGAGGTGTGGTGCCACTGAAGGCTTTTGCTCTGGAGAATATGGCCTTGGATCCTCTGTTGATGGAATGGCAGCTGGCTGTGGCTGGAGAGCATCGATGGCAAAAACCATCAGCAAGTCTGAACAGGTCAGCACCCGTGTGGAGCCCCCAGCCTGCTGGTCCATGGCTGTTTCCAGGAAGGAAGAACATCCTGGGGAGGTTTGGACCCTGCTGCTCTAAGCTGTGCTCCCTTGTACCGAACGACCCCCGAGTCTTCACTACAAGTGCCAACACAGCAGCCTGATTTTGGGGTGGAATGCAAGTGTGGCTGCTGTATTCGGGTTGTTTTAGTGTTTTGTAGTCCAAAGGACCCTTGCAGCTCTTGCATTCTCATGTTATTTGGGGGTTGGGGAGTTCCAGGGGATTGTGGCCAGTCCTGTGGCCTATGAAACTTTCTTTGGGCTCCCGTGAAGAGGGAAGTTGCTTTTTGTGGTCCCAGGTGACAGAGGCCAGGCTCACACCTCTGTGATGTGCATGGGGACACCGAGGGATCTGCTCTAGGGCTCTGAGTGGAGAGGTACCCTGCCAGCCTCCCTTCTCCCCAGGCACCGCATCCAGCGTTCCTCATTGAGAGAGAAATTCAGCTGATCTCCCCTCAGACTCCTCCTT